TGCTTGCTGTTCTGTTAAATTTTGCTAGTCTTACTGGAGTGAGATGATATCTCATGGTTGTCTTGATTTGCATCTCTCTCAGAGCTAGGGATTTTGAACATTTCTTCATGTGCTTGTTGGCCATCTGAATGGCTTTTAATTAGTTATTTTTCAGTAATGATTAATAATTACCAAAACCCTGGTCATGGCTCATTCCCTGCCCGCTACCTGCAGGGGGCACCACTGAGCAGCTTCTCTTCACACTCCCACTGTTGAGTGAAGAAAAAAAAATAGGAACGAACTGGGGGGGAGGGGGCGGCAGTAGAGAAAATAGTGCAACAATGAATGAATGGTAACCCAAAATCTCTGTAAGTCTTCATTAAAATTAATAAAATTTAATTTTTTAAAAAACCTACTAATTTTGTGTCTGGGAGACCCCGTGGACCAGGGGAGACTGTGTGATCTTGCTCTACTGAATGTAGAATGAAAAGAAAAAACAAAACCTGGAGGAAAATTAGTTCGATCACACCACAGAGCACTTTTCCTTAGTGAAAAAGAGAGTGCATTGGAGTTTTCATATAGTGCCACTGGCTGTTAAGTAGAAGCTCAGGCTAAGCAGTATCTCGTATTGTTGCACTTACCTTTGTTGCTCCTTCAGTGACTGCATTTTTACAGCGTGAAGGTTTGTGGCCACTTTGGGTAGAGCACATGTCCTGGTGCTAGTTTTCCAACAGCCTCTGCTCACTTCCTGCCTCTGACACAGTTTGGTAATAGTCACGACATTTCATACTTTTTCACAATGCTATTGCATATTTAATAGACTACAATATAATGTAAGTATAACTTTTATGTTGTTGTTATTCTGTTGAGTCATAACCAACTTATCGCTGGCCCTCCAGTGGGTTTTCAGAGACAGTAAATCACACTGGAGGAAATGGCTCATCTTTCTTCTGCAAAAGCAGCTGGTGGATTCGAACTTCTTGTCTTTGGGTTAGCCACCAGAGTTCCCTTAACGTTGGTATGCTTTGGGAAATCAAAACTATTTGTCTTAACTCATCATGATAGTCACTTGATTGTGTGGAACTGAACCCTCAGTATCGCAGAGGTATATGAGCTTGGTTAACAAGCTTGCTTGATATATACGAATTGATCTTGACTTGAATCTGACATTTGGATGGGGCACATTTGCAATGTTTGCTGTAGATGCTATTTTTCATAGAAGCTAACCCAAAGCAAAGCAGTTGCCATCAAATCTGTTGTGACTGGTAATGACCCTGGGTGGACAGACTAAAACTGCACTTTATCGACTTGTTTTTTCCTCAAGACCTTTCAGAAGCAGATTGCCAGGCCTTTCTTCTGAGTTGTCTCTGAGTAGATTCAAACAATCTTTCAGTGAAGGGCTTAATTGGTTATATCATCTAGGGACTCTAAACACTCACCAAAGGCTTCAAGAAGGGTAAAAATGTCTCTGTTATCAGGGCTATTATGTTTATGCTGTTTGTTCCTGGAAGTTTATATGGACATCCACGTATGTTCTCAGCGCCTACTTCCCCTCCTCAGAGCCTGCCCTCTCTCCGTCTCCCCTTCCCCCGCCCCCAGAGTTGCATCATAGCAAGTTCATGCTCTTGCTGTGACGTTTTTGTGGCCATGTCTAAATTACAGGCATGCCATTCAGTCCCTATTCTTTTATCATTGCATGGTATTTATAAGGCTCTGGTGGTAATGGGTTGTGAAAATAAGAACAGCTATTGTTCTGGCAAAAGAAACCTGCTCTCTTGATCGCTTGCTCTCGCTCTCTCACTCTGTGTGTATATGTTTGTGTCTTTTCTCTGTATCCTCAGGAACGAGCCTTGGTGTGCTGGCTAGGTCTGGGCAAACAGTATGTGAAGGAAGCCTTGCGAGAGGAGGGGCAAAGCAGAGGCCAGGGCCCCAAGTTAGGAGGCCATAAAGAAAGGATTCCTGTGAAAAGAGGCCAGCCAGGCTGAGTTTCAGCTCTTTTGCCTGGAGGGCATGAGGGGTGGGGGGGAAGGAAGGAAGGAGGAGGGTCAGCTTGGCATGACGTGAGGTCCTGTGCCTTTCCTGGGGTTGAATTGAGGAACTATGAGGAGGCGTTGCTGGTGAGAGTCAGTCTGACAGAGCACAGGATGGAACGAGAACTCCAGCTGTTGGCTGTGTCTCATGTGTCTACAAGAGCTGGGGAGATTAATGATCCAAGGAGGGTATGATATGGTCCAAAAACTTTTCCTGGATTTTTTCCGTAGGCGGCTGAGCCAGAGGCCGACAGCAGAGGAATTGGAGCAAAGGAACATCTTGAAACGTAAGTGACTAAACACTTGATAGCCACTGATACTTTGTGGTGACTTTACACTGTTCTCTAACCGTGAGTCACAGGTAGACGTCTGTATATGTAGAAATGCTTGAGAACCGGTTTAGTTATTAGGGCTACATCCTTACCTATTTTAATACCAAAGAAACAGCCCTAGCCAAAGATATGCCATTGAGTTGATTCTAGCTCATAGTGACTCTGTGAGACAGAGTGTAACTACCCCCGAAGGTTTTTAAGTCTGTAATCTTTAGAGGTGCAGACTGCTACATCTATCTCTGTTAGACTGACTGGTGGGTTCAAACCACTGACCATTCAGTTAGAAGTCAAATGTTTAACTACTGTATCACCAGGTTAGCTGACCCTTCAGAGGCTGTAAATTGCACAGGAAGAAATTGCCCATCTTCCTCCCTCAAAAGCAGTGGGTGGAGGCAAATCATGTACCTTTGAGTTGACAGAGCAGCTCCTTACCATTAGGTCACCAGGCCACCATGGCTCTTTAAATATCTCCACAAAACTAAAAAACTCAACTTGCTGCCGTCCAGTTCAGTGCAACCCATAATGGCCCTCAACAAGTTTCCAAGTCTGGAAATCTTAATGGGCACAAATGGCCCCTTTTTTCTGAAGGAAATTAGCAGCCCAACACTTAACCTGCTTCACCACCAGGATTCTGTAAACACTCCCATGTTGTTTTTAGGTGCCATCGAGTCAGAGCCCAGTCATAGCTGACCCTCCAGCAGGTTTTGGTTTAACAGTGCAACTTCTTAACATTAACCCCTCAGAGATCCCTTAGAGAAACATTTCTATAGATAAGGGAAATTCTAATCCACTTGCCTAGATACAGTCAGAACTTTCACTTTGGTAAGTTTTAAAGTCTGAGAGGAGCTTATAAAATGAGAACTACAATCACTAAGTGATTTTGAGAAGCATTGAAGTCACAATGCTTGGAGCCCAAACTTAAGACTTAAGAATTGATGGCTAAGATATTAAGCACAGGTGAGTATTCCAGTGTTCCTTGGAGTACTAGCCAAATGGTAGAAACCACCCAGATGTCCTTGAACTGATGAACACATAAGCAAAGAGTGGAATATGCAAAGAATCCATGCAGTGGAATATTACACCGCCATAAAGAGAAATGGCTCCGTTTAACATAAATGAGCCTGCAGAACATCATGCCGAGGGAGATGCAGCTAGGCACAAAAGGGTTCCACGTGTATGAAGCACCTAAAAGTGGCAGATACATGGTGGTAAAATGCTAGGAGATGGGAGTGGTAGGGATAATTGCTTAAGGGGTGCTGGACATCCCTCTGGAATGATGAGCAACATTTGAAATTGGATTGGTGGTGATGATTATACAACATGGGAAATGTAATGTGTGCCACTGAATTTTGTACATTTTAAAGGGGTTAAATTTAATGTTGTGAATTTTTTTATTTTTTACCACAGTGAAATGAGATATGTATATATATATATAGATATGAAAATTTATATATATATATATCACATATATGAAATATATATTAAAATATATATATATCTCACATGATAATTATATATTGTATTATCTATGTAATACCCCAACCCCCACTGCTACCAAGTAATTTCTAACTTATAGCACCCTTCTATTGAGTGTCCTCATATTTACAGGTGGATATGGGCCATCTTCTTCCCAAGGTGTGTTCAAGCCTCTGACCTTTTGATTAGCAGCCAAATGAGTTATGAATTCTGCCACCAGGCCTCCTTTGCATACAATATAGATTAAATAAGAGGGAAATAGCCATTTGTGACTGGATAGAAACCTGATTTTACATCGTAGTTGGCTTCTGTTAGTAAAAAACTCCCATCCATCTAAACATTCAATTGAAAGTCAAGGGAAGAGTTTCCAAATGGCAGGGCTCAGAGTCTGTCCGGATTTCTTTCCATTACTGGACAGTTAGTTGTGTGCTTGCTGTAACTCTCGTTCAAGGAAGGCCCCCTGCCATGGGGCCATAGGCCAGAAGAAATCAACAAACCCGTTGTTTGATTCAGGGCACAGAGAGATTGGAATACGTATAGAGAATTCACGCGTACATAAAAGTAATAAAGACACAGCACTCAAATAAATCAAGCAGTTCAAGACCTGAGCATGCCTCAGTTTAGTTGAAGATATTAAATAGTTGGGGGGGGGAACTCATATGACCCACATCTGCTCAGTCAAAAATAATATTTTTCATTTCATTTATGATTTCTGTCTTTCCCTCACACATACACTCTCTTAACTCTCTGTCCTGTACCACTTCCTCACACATACACACCCCCTTCTAATTTTTCTCCAGAAAAATATAGTATGCAGAGTTTTCTAGAAATACTAGGCAACACACACACGTCAGTCAGTCATATGAAACCCTGGTTGCTGGTAATTTCCACGCAGAGCAAACTAAAATGTTCTTGCTTTTACTTTTCTACCAGTCCTCATTGTGGTCGTGTGACTTGATCAGGATTACAGGGTTTGCTAAGTGGAGCTTTTAAACTCCACCCTAAAGGAGACAGGAGGGGTGTCATCTGCTGCCCACTACCACCACCCCCAGAGTTTCATCAGTTCTATTTTTGGGCTTTATGAACATCTTGTCCCTCCTCTATGCCAACCACCACTTCCCCACTTCTCATTGTTGTTAAGTGCCATCAAGTCAGTTCTAACTCGTAGCAACCCTGTGTACAAAAGAATGAAATGCTGCCTGCTCCTCTGCCAGCCTCACATCCCTGCCAAGTTCAAGTCCATTGTTATATATGTGTCAGTGCATTTTGTTGAAGGTCTTCCTTTCTTTATCTCTACTTCACCAAAAATACTGTCCTTCTCAAAGGACTGGCCCCTCCAAATAACATGCTCAAAATATGTGAGACAAACTCTCAGCATCCTTGCTGCTAAGAGACATTCTGACTGCCATATTCCAAAATGGATTTGTTCATTATTCTGACAGTCCACAGTACATTTCATATTTAATATTCTTCTTTTCATATTCTTCACCTATACCACAATTCAAAGGCATTCTTATTTGTTATCCAGGTTTTGTAATTCTTGTTGTGGTTTTTGGGGGGTTTTTTTGTTATTATATTGGAATCAACTTGTAGCTGACCCTTCAGAAGGTTTTCAGAGGCAGTAAATCATACATGAGGAGATAGCTGATCTTTTTCCCACAGAACATCTGGTGGATTCGAACCACATACGTTTGGGTTGGCAGCTCAACTACAACCAGGCCTCCAGAGCTCCCTTTTGCATGAATTAGAAGTGATTCAGGTCAGGCATACCTCAGTGTCCAGAGTGATATTTAACACTTTAAAGAGATCTCTAAAGCTGTTTAATTCACTTTAACATTTTAAAATTTTAACCCAGTGTTATGTAGAGTTTGATTTTATTTTTTTTATTCTCTCAGTATATGTTGTACATATACATGTGTTATACTGAATGTACCATGGACTGCCAAGAAAACAAATAGATTCATCCTAGAGAGGGTTAAACCAGGCTGCTCCTTGAGGCAAGGATTCTAGGACTTCGTCTGACATACTTTGGACATGTTGTAAGGAGAGACAGGCCTTTGGAGAGGGACATCATGCTGGGCAGAGTGGAGGGACGGAGCAGAGGGGAAGACCCTCTATGAGGTGGATTGATTCAGTGACTGGGGTAATCGGGATGGATGTGTCAGGGGCAGTGAGATTGGCACAGGATAGAGCAGGGTTTAGGGCTGTTGTACACAGGGTCGCTATGAGTCGCAAGTGACTCGACGGCACATAACAACAACAACTCAGTATATGTTATATTTGGATTGGCTTTCCTCAGTCTTCTATATACCTCCACATAGGCATGGGGTGGAGGGGTGTGTGTGTGTGTGTGTGTGTGTGTGTGTGAGCTTAGTGGTAGGGAATTACACTACCAACCCAAGGTACATGGCTTGAATCCACTAGCTGCTCTATGAAGAAAGATGGGCAATCTCCTCCTGTGTTATTTATCGCCCCTGAAAATCTAGCAGAGTGTTAGCATATATATTCTAACCAAAGGGTACCCTGAAAGTTTCTAAGTTAAAAAAAATCATTTGTCATTGCGTTCCTTGAAATCATGGTAGGCCCATGTGTGTCAGAGTGCATTTATGCTCTATAGGTTTTTTAATGACTGGCGTTTCAGAAGACACCCCCAGGAAAGAATTAAACTGTCAACCTTTTGGTTAGCAGTGAGTTGCATTAACTGTTGGAACTCCTTTCTAATTTTACCCCAAACCAAAACCAAACCCATTGCCACTGAGTTGATTCCAATTCCTAGCCACCCTCCAGTGGCTTCATTCAGAGGACCAAGTGGAGGCCACCAAAGATTGCTTCCACTTCTTGTGACTCAGTTCCTTCTCCTGTTCAGACAGCTGCAAATTAAAGACACAATAAGTAAAAGAGAAGTACTTTGAAATTTTAAACTTTTTTTTTGGCAAAAAAACCTTTGGTGTATGGCCAAACTCATTAATCATTTCATAAACTTTCCTGAACTGTTTTATAAAATATATTTCTTCCCAACTCCCAAATAACAAGAGCTAAATTCTAGAACCTTGTTGTTCTACATGTTTTCTCTCGTTTTTTAAACCGTTTTTGGTTTAATTTTGATGGCTTGACAAGGACTATTTTTTGCACAAGGAAATACCCTCAAACCGTTTGTTCTAAAGAATAGTCTCTGTGCTTTAGAGCATGAGAGGAACTAGCCACTCCAAGAGACTGCTGGGGCAGAGGGTGCCACTACCGCTGCTGAGGTCTGAGCCTGGTGACAGCCCCACCCACCTGGCCTGTGGCCAGCGGCTGTGCTCAATAGTCAGTAAGACCAGGTGCCCCTTTGAGCACATAATGACCCCTCTGATGGGGACACCCAGAGATGAGGCCTCTCCTGGCCTCCCCTCAGTGGCCCAGTAGGTTGTATTGGTAGCCTCTGTCTGACAATTCTCTGGGTTTGGAAATCGCTTTGAACTAAAGATATAGAGTCCAGCGGGGTTATCTGTGGCCCTGCCCCTCAGAGGATGGTAAGAGACCATGTAGGGCTTGCAGGCTTCTATCCCAGAATGTCACCCCTCCTGACTCAGAACTGGCCTGCAGAGTACAGGGAACCCATGTCTGAAGGCCAGGGTCAGTATCCAGAAAACAGAAGGGCCAGCCTTGAGCAGAAGGTGCTGTAGGAAGATGCTTTGAGCTCCAGTGAGGGGGTAAAAAGAGCTGGATAAGTTGACTCACTTAGCTGTGTACTTTGTAACTAACCACTTAGTTGCCCCTGATTCTTGTGTCCTCGTTTATAAACCAAGAGTGGTAGAATTATAAGTGCTTGGGGCCCTCGTCATACTCATATTCTATGATCTTGACATTTAGACCAGTTGCTACTTCTTGGACAGGCACCCTCCAATGTAAAATTTTCATTTCACTCCTCCTCCCTTTCAAAAATATGTCTAGGGTCTGCCTCCTTCTGGATCTTGCCATTTGGCTCCCAGTTTGTCTCTGATGCATTGATTTCTGACTGAGATATTCCTGGTTTATCTCTGAAATGTTAGTTCATGCTAAAGTATTAATGACTAACTAGCTTAACTTGTGTTTACCTAAGAGACATTTGCATTTTTCATGAGAGGAGATAGAAAGTTTAAGTGCTAAGAGAGAAGTTCTGATGGCAACAAGCCCAGGCATCCTGTGGTTACGTGAAGGAGGGGGGTCCTTTGGTCTTCCCACACTGGCACATGATGTGGCATTTCTTGCATTGTAATAGAGCCCATCCATGCCCCAGGGTCTCATTCAGTGACTGAGTTCTACCCCAGGCCCTATCATTCCTACTAGTGAGGGTGTCACCCCTTCCACCTGAGTTGTCTGTATTTGTGGTTGCGGTTACCTGGGTGAAGGAGGGACAGTTTACTAGACACCTCCCTTCTGTGCACGGACAGAGCTTCTCTCCTGATGACCAGTAAACTCTGGTGGTTTAGTTTGTAGAAGAGAAGGTTGCACTGCAAATCCAAAAGCATCTCACTCCTGGCAATTTCTTTTCCCTGATGTTTACTGCCTCAGAAAGTCACTGGAGGGTCATTTATAAGGGAGTTGGTTCTAATTCACCAGCTATTGGTTTTTATGTAAACTCCAGCAGACAAGCAGCACAGCATGGCTTTGATGCGAGGTGGTTTCTTTGCAGGCTGGGCAGTGCTAGACTTACTAGTCTGTGCTTCTGTTCCTAGCCTATGAGGACAGGAGTCTCCCTCAGGCCAATGGAGAAACTTAACTTTCAAATAAACCCATCACAGCTCTGCTTCCTTCCCCAGACCTTCCTACTCAGGAATCATTAAAAATCCACCTAGTAAAGTGCCCCACATATTGATCTGAGAAGCTCTAGTCTCTGAGGTCTCTTCCTCTCAAACGTTCCTTCCAAGTCTAAATGCAGGCAATTCTACCCCAAACCATGGCCTCATACATACTCTGTGGACTTCTCAGAAGAGTCAAAGACTTAATGGAGTCAGGGCTTGTTACAGGTGAGCGTTTTTAAGTTCCCTGGAGTGCTCATGGCTCTAGCCAAAACCCAGTTACCGTTGAGTCCCTTGTACGTCAGAGTAGAATTGTGCACCAGAATATTTTCAGGTTGAACTCAAACTGCCAACCTTTTGGCGAGTCACTGAGCACTGAAACCATTTATACCACTCAGGGTTCCGCTATGTTCTATCTCTGCCACAAGAGGCTTGTGGCTTGTTGGGCCAATCTTCTCTTCTACTCTCACAACGCACTAGTCCCTGGACCACCTAACAGTAGGTAAGCCTTCAGCAGTGTCTCAGCTGACAGATACGGGCAAGCGAGTCCAGGTCATGTCCAGAGAAGAAAGCCTCCCTTTCCCCCAGATGCTCGAGTTCCTGCACACCAGCTCTCTTAATGCCCATCCCTAGCATCTTGGTTATGTTCACGTCCCAGAACTTTGGACCAGAGCCTGAAAACCACTTGTGATAGAAAGCACAGACTTGAAACAATACAAGAAGTCTGCCAAGCAGCATGTTATGGCCAGAAGGGAGGATGGCAAAGGGGCCCGGGCCCAAACTTGGAGGTGTTTGGTATGAAGCCAGCAGAGGCTGAGAGGATGCACTGTGGGTGAGGGTATTTATCCAAATCATCTGGAATGTTTCTTTCAGCTCGAAATGAACAAGAGGAACAAGAGGAGAAAAGAGAGATCAAGAGACGGCTCACTCGAAAGGTGAGATGGGCTTGGTGGTGACTGGAGCCACGCTATAGGCCCCCCTCCTCCCGGGTCCCTTTGTGAAACTGAGTTGCATGTGAAATCTGGGGAGTTGGCTCGTGCTCCCCCAGAATCAGAGTGTCCCTCTATTTCTAGCCTTTTCTCTTGCTTGATAGTATAACATCTACCTCAGTCAGAAGATGGGCCCAGTGGCATTTTATTTTCCTCTTCAAAGTTGTGAAAAGAATTAGCAATTAGAAATTCACCTCATCAAGCACGTTGATATTTAAAGCAGTACTGACTGTCCAAATACAGTTGTTGGTTTGGGCCCTGGGAAAATGGGAATTTTCTTGCCTCTAAGTGTTCCTTACCTTACCTATCAACTGAAAACCATTTAACTCTACTGTTCTCAATCCAGATTGAATGACTGAAGTAAGAAAAGTGTCCAGAGCCAGTAAATTTTGTGGAGGTGTCTAAAAAACACCAAAACTAAAATCAGGTGCTAGATGAGAAATACCTACTTAAATAAAAGTTGTAAAGCTGAAATTGGTATATACCGTTAAGATCTGCACTATGGCCAAATGGGCCTTACTTTTTAACAGTGAGCTCATCTTTAAAGCTATTTCTTGGATAATGCTGGCAAGTTTAGCTACTCAATAACACACAATTAGAATACTATTTTCTGCAATTTTCTGCCTGAATATCAGCCTACTACAGTGACTGTCTTGAGAGAAATAGACTGACATCTTAGAAAGGTTTATTAATGGATTTCCTCCCAGAAATATTATGCAAAGGAAGAAATTCAGAGATTGAGGCTATCCTATCAGTTATGGCGAGGATTTGTATTCCTTAATAATTTCTCTCCTTTGGAGCATCTCAAATATCCAGTGACAAGCCAAACGTCAACCCAGTTAAACAAGTGGCAGAAAGGTCAGATGACATGGTGGTGTCATTCTGGGGTGACTTGAATAAAACAATTGAGTGTGTTCCAACTCATACCCGCTTTATTGTGTTGGCGTAGGACTGTGCTCTGTAGGCTGTAGTGGATATTTCTCACGCGTCAACTTGCCAGATCTTCCTTCCAAGCTGCCTGTGGGTTGACTAGAATCACCAACCTTTTGGTTCACATCTAAATGTATGTTAACCATTTGTACTATGTAGAGAATCCAACCAACCAGAAATCACCTCACTTCAGCAACTTGGTCTCACTCCATCAAACTCTTACTCAACATCCTTACAAGCGCTTGCATTTCGGCATAGGACAGAACATGGATTTCTTGGATAGTACCTGAGTGAGAAGGATTGGGCGCGAGGCATCTGCTGGTTATCCTCAATGGGGCTTTGAAGTGACTGAGGCTGAAAAAGGAGGCTGCTTCCCAGTGCAGAGAGATGTACACATTCAGACAAATGTTTAGGTCAGATTTCCATGAAGTTTAAATGTCATTACTGGGGTGTTCTCCAACACTTCAGGTGTCTTACTATGTAGTGGTGTTGTTATTATTAGATGCTATCGAGTCAACCACACCTCATGGAGACCCAGTAAACAAAGGATCTGAACCTTGCCCTATCCTGTGCCGTCCTGGCCGTCTCTTACATACACAAGCCCAGCATCACAGTTACTGTGTCAGTCCATCTCATTGAGGATCTTTCTCTCCTTCTCTGACTCACCATCTCTCCAAGCATGATGCCCCTTTCCCAGGACTGGCCCCTATAACAACATGCTCGAATGAAGCTTCACCATCCCTGCCTCTAAGGAGCACTCTGGCTGCACTTTCTCCAGAATGGAATTGTTTGTCCATTGACTATTCAGTCTCCAACACAACTCAGAGACATTGATTCTTCTTCTGTCACTCTTTTTTTATTGTTAAATTTTCAGGTGAACTTTCTATGTTTACTTTCATATGGCAAGCAAAAATGGGAAAGCACTGAGACTTTTATTATATTCTTGTCTCAAGTAAGATGATCAGATTTCACAGAGAAAAACACTTGACTAATCACATCATTTGGCATTTAGTGGGTGAAGGGAGCACCTTCCAACCCCATCTCCTCTCTGGCAGGCAGCACTATAGATTACCACCTTGGTGCTCCAGTTGAGGCCATAAGCTAAGGGTTGGGTAGCTGTCTATTAAGGGGGTGGGAGATACATGAGAACGCAGCACCCACATCTGCATTTGCAGACAGAGATGCAGAGCCTGGGGACCTTGAAAATCCACATTGCTTCCTGGCTTTGCGCAAGTTATTTCCTCTTAAGTCTTTATCACACCAAGACCAGATGCCAGGGTGGGTAGCTGCTATTCAATTCCTCACCCTCAACCCAAGGATTTCCACAATAATAATTCTCTTCCATTTTAATATACTCAGGAGGAGAATAAACTAGAGAAGCTGATGCAGATAGGAACAGAGTAGTCCTTTTCTTCTGCCAAATTGAGACTACCCAAAAAGAATACTTTTTTTGTCTTTTGAAAAAATTGTTACCCACCCTTCTTAAAAAAAAATTACACGTAGGTACAGTAGGTAGGTTTATTTGTTGTTGCTGCTGTCCAGTTCGCATTGGACTCCTGTCAACCCCTGTGTTAGAGAGAACTTTTCCACAGGTATTTCTTAACTGAAATCTTACCAGATGTCATGGATTGGACTGTGCATTATAATACATGTGCATCGTGATGTCATGTGGAAGTATTGTAATGATTCTCCCTGACCTAATAACCCAAGCAGTTGTAAAAGGATTGAGGGTAACATGGGTAATACTATCGTGGCCCTAAATCATGATGATTTAGATACTCTGGAATCATTGTTTTTAGCTGCCGAGTGACCCCACATACATCAGAACTAAGCCCTGCCCAGTCCTCACTGTTTCCGCTGTGTCTAAGCCTGTCGTTTCCATCACTGTGTCAGTCTGTCTCTTGAGAGTCTTTCTCTCTTTCTCCGACCTTCTACTTAGCCAAGCAAGATGTCTTTCTCCAGGGACTGGTCCCTCCCAGAAAGGCCCAAACGTATGTGAGGGCAAGTCTCACTTTCGAACTTCTATTTTGGCCAGACTTCATGCATGACAGATTTATTTCTTCTTTGGGAAAGCTGTAGTTTTTTTCAATATTCTTTGCCAATACCACATTAGAAAAATATCAGTTCTTTTTCAGTCTTTCTTATTCATCATTCAACATTCACATGCATATGAAACAATTGAAAATAATGGCTTGATTAAGAGACCTTAGACTTTTAACTGTTAACTTCTGATTCTATAATTTCTTGTCGTCTTCTTCCATGGGACTAAGCAAAATAAAATTCATGACATTTCAATCTTTTCTCCAGTTATTGTAATGTTGGTTATTGGTTCAGTCGTGAGGACTTTTGTTTTTTTGAGGTGTAATCCATACTGGAAGATATAGTCTTTGAGTTTCATCTATAAATACTTCAAATCTATGTTTTCCTCAAGCAAGATTGTATCATGTGCATATCAAAAGCTAGTGAAGCAGCCTCCTCCAGTACCAGTGATACTTCTTCAAATAATTCAACTTCTCAGATTATTTATTCATCATATATATTGAATAGATGTGGTAAAAGGATACAACTCTAATGAAAGCCTCTCCTGATTTTTAAACGATACAGCATCCTCCTGTTCTGTTCAAACAACAGCTTCTCGATCTGTGTATAGGTTTTGCGTGAGCACAATTAAATATTCTGGAATTTGCCTTTTTCCGGTTGTCCATAATTAATTATGATCTATATAGGTCAAATGTCTTACCCATGTAAGACAAGTAAGTATTTTTCTGATATTCTCTGATTTCTACCAAGATTCATCTCTGACAGCAACAATTATATTGCCTGTTCCACAGCTTCTGAATCCAGCTTGAATTTCTGGCCATTCCAGCCATGTTTCAATATTCTTCAGCACAATTTTACTTTTCATGTGATATTAGTGATATTGTTAATTAATTTCCACATTCCTTTGGATCACCTCTTTGGAGAGGTACACAATGTGTATTTGTGTGGCCACAAATGTGTATATTCTCCAAGTTAGTTGACCAGGTTGCTGTCTTTCACGTTTCTTGAGATAGACGAGTGAGTATGTCCAAGCCTTGCATGTTTGCTGAAAACACCTCTATTGGTTTTCATAAGTTCCTGGAGCCTTCTATTTTGCCAGTACCTTCAGTACAGTCTGATTTTCTTCCTTCAGCACTGATAGTTCTTAATCGTGTACTACTTCCCAAAATGGTTCAGTGTCAACCAGTACTTCTTGCTTGGTACAGTGACTCTCTGTATTCCTTCCACCTTCTTTTGATGCTTCTTTCAATATTCTACCCATCGACTCCTTTTAGTCTTAGAACTTAAGGCTTGAATTTTTTTTTTCTCCAGTTCTTTCAGTTTGAGAAATACTGAGCATGTTTCAAACTCAACGCACACATAGTCATAACACAGTATCTTCTCCAGTTGCCCTTTGACATCTTAGAAAACCAGGGCTGCCTCGGGACAGACAGAACTACTTTGTTGAGACTCCTCCTGTGTCTGAGGTGGGCCCTACAGTCCTGATTCACTCATTTGGCCGCCATTGGCCACAGAGAGCACTGCAAGCCTTCCGTGGTCCCGGGCAGTGCCTCAGCCACATTGCTCTGTTGAATGCCAGCCAGGATGCAGCTAATCACACATTTGCATTGGAAGTTAGCTGGCAGCCAGCTAGACTATCCTGGCACTAGCCAAGGGTGGATGACAGAGGCATGAGGAAGAGTCAAAACACCCAGAGTGGTTTGGACTCCCTTGTGTTTATGTGTTTTATAGACCTTAGTGGTAAGGTTCTATCTGGCTACATCATCTATAAATAGAATTAAATACTGTCTAGAGCTTGGGAGAAGAATTGCATTTCAGTAACATCAGTTGGACATGCATTGAAGTGAGAACAACTGTGTTGCTCCCAAAGAAATAAAGGGAGTGGCAGGAAGAGACAGTAGGAATGCCAGCCTGACGCTGTCGCTGTTGGAGTACAAAGGGAAGGTGCTCGTGAGTGGCATCAGAGATAGCGATGTCAGTGCCCGTTCTCCTCCTAGCTGTGGCAGTCCTCAGCACGCCTGTCCAGAGGGCCCAGCTGAGGCTCGCTGGCACACATGCAGCCGGGCGGTGCACTCACCTCTGCATTTGGAGAGTGACCTTTTACTTGAACTTCACAAGAGGACTGTTAGCAGGGAGGCCTCTGACCTAAAACAGCACATCTCCATTTCAACATGCCCCAGCACTCTCTCTCTCTCACACACACACACACACACACACACACACACACGTGCTTGCGCGCTTTTGGTTTCTAAGACATATTCATACAGACCTTGTTGCAGAGAGCATGACATTAAGCACACAGCCATGAACTCACAATTGCAGAAGAAAGACAGCACTTCTGTGGCTGGAAGAGAGAGGGAAGACAGATACAGAAAAGCTCGCAACAGCCGCCCACACCTGCACAGAAACACAAGGTGCTTTTACAGCCCGAGATGCCTCACATTATTAGGAGAGAGACAGACTGGCTGGCTGGCTGCATGGGCCTGGAGGTGCCTCCGGGATAATAAAGCTCTCTGAGAACACTGGAAGGATTCTAGGTCCGTGATGAGTCTAGTGTTCTGGGTTCCCACCTAGGCACCACCACTTACTCACCAGGTGATGTGTCCATTGAATTATCAGGACTTTATTTTAGCAAGGGGAACCAGCTGGTTTACCTTCGGGTGACTGGTCCCTTCTCTCACCCTCCCTGCAGCTCAGCCAAAGGCCCACAGTGGAAGAGCTCCGAGAGAGGAAGATCCTCATTCGCTTCAGTGACTACGTGGAGGTGGCGGACGCTCAGGACTATGACCGGAGGGCGGACAAGCCCTGGACCCGTCTCACCGCTGCTGACAAAGTAAGCCTGACTGGAAAACAAAGGCAGAGAATGGGATGGCTGGAGTGAAGGCTGGTTTCTCAAGCCCTGCTTGGCCTCTTCTACTGGATTTCTCACTTGCTGCTGCAGAGCCATAATGAGACCAGCAACTCAGCCTTAGTCAGTCTTGGGAAAGGAGTGGTGAATTTGAAGCACCAATTTCTGGGCTAAGAGTGATGAGTGCTGCTCCCCCACACCCCTCCTCCAAGGGCTTCAGGATCTACAGGAGGCCTATTGTGTTTCTTCTTCGCTCAAAGCCAGCAGAAAGCATGCAGGTCATACTGTGTGGGCTGTGTCAGAGGTGGAAGGGCGGCCCTCGGACTGTGTCCAGACACAAGCGATCATGTGGGTGATGGATGGCCAGGTCCAGGGCATGAGACCATCCATATCGAGAGCACTGCCCTCCCAAAGGTGGGCACACAAACCTTCACGCACAGGTGCTGTGTTTACAGTTGTGTCCACGTAATGGGAGAAATAGGACACAAATCAGGCGCATTGCAAAATGTGTCACTTCATGAAACCCTTGTCAATTTGCAAAGCAGGAATAGGAGTTTATTACTATTAGTTTCCATTGAGTTGGCTCCGACTCAGACGGTAAGTAAGGGAACTCTCAATGGCTCCGACTCAGACGGTAAGTAAGGGAACTCTGGTGGCCTAGCAGTAAGCTGCTGTGCTGCCAACCCAAAAGCAGGTGGTTCAAATCCACTAGCTTCTCTGTGGGAGGAAGATGGCAGTCTCCTCCCATGTGATTTGCTGCCTCTGAAAGCTCACTGGAGGGTCAGCTATGGGTTGCTTCCAGCTCATTGGAATGCAGCAACAATAACAACATGGTGAGTGACATGATGGAGTAAAATGTTCCCCAGTCCAGTGTCGGCCCCATGAGGAGCTGTGCAATTCCATCCTCGGGGCTGTCATCTCAGCCCGTCTTACTGACGGTTTCTTTCATTAGTGCCCACTGTCTCCTCCCCTTGGGCAAACATCTTTCCCAGCAATTGATCTTTCTTGGTGATGTGTTCAGAGTAATCAAGCTGAAGTCCCACATGAGAAATGCATACGTTGTCTTGGAGAGATGCATTGAGAAATGTAGTTGTGCAAATGATAGCGCATTCATATCCCTCCATTAAAGCAAGAGTCAAAATGAACATCTGTTTGGTAACCCTTTGTAATTCTAGTTCATGAGAAACTAGAGGGCTCAAGATGTTTATGTAAGTTGTTGTGTGCCATTGAGTTGGAAGTGACTCATAACTGACCCTCCAGTGGATTTTTCAGAGGCTAGAAATCACACTGGAGGAGATTGTCCATCTTTCTCACAGGGAAGAGCTGGTGGATTTGAGCTGCATGCCTTAGAGTTTGCAGCACAACTCCTTACACCAGGCCACCAGAGCTTCTTTTAATACAAGTAGTCTAAAAACATGCTTATGCCCAAGGTGTGTGTGAAAGGGAGACCCTGGGGGCCCTCTGCAGAGTCTCCTGCATCTATCCAGCTCACTCCAGTGGCCTGGGAGCTCCATATTCAGCACACAGAACTTGTACAACTCAAAACACTGGCTGAAGTGTCTCCAGCCTTGACTAAGAATTCCAGGAAACACAAGTGAAGAGGAGAAGCTGCTGCTCTTGAGTGGACTAAAGTGGTCGAAGCAGATAGACTTCCTCCCGGAAATGGCTGCCTATGTGGCAGATCCAATGGCCTTGATGAAAGGGGCATAGGAGTGACCTTGGGACTTGTCCCATGGTGCAAAGGACAGTCCTGCCACAGGAAAGGCAGCTAGTTGTGTCGTTGTGGTGTCAGGAGAGCTGACTTTGCCTTCTGTTTAATTTTGTGTACATTTATATAAAAACCCCAAACCCTGAGATGAAGGCATTGATAGATTTCAAAGGAACACACAGCATCCCTACATGCGTTCTCTAAATTGCTGACTTAGGGTAGCGAAAGTGTCCAGTTCCTCAAAAGCTGCTGAGGACAGAGGAACAGGAAGTAGTGGTGCCTCTGTGACACTTAACATCATCTGATTAGCTCTAAACGCAAGTACTCTTTCCTTTCCTAGAGACAGTTATAAACTGAATTGTGTGTCTGCCCAAAAAAGATATGTGGATGTTGGGAAGAGGAGGAAGACTAGACAGATTCTCACCGCCATCAAGTCAGAACCAAGTCATAGCTGACCCTCCAGTGGGTTTGCAGAGGCTGTAAAGCATACAAATCTTTCTCCCTTGGAGTTGCTAGTAGACTCAGACTGCCAGAGAGGTGCCCCTTCTGGTTAACAGCTCAGCTCCCTACCTCTTACCCCACCAAAGCCCCTGGTGAAGACTCGAGAAGGTACTTGTTGATTTAATTCGGTGGAGCTGGAAGGCCATTCCCAGCAGGACAGTCAGTTTGAGCAGGGAGTTGGAGGCCAGTGTGACATGCACACTGCTGTACCAATGTTGAAATGGTGCATTTGTGCACTGTGGAATTGTCTTCATTAAATTTTTACTCAAATAAAGACCTGAGAGACGGAGAGAGTGTATATTTGTGTGTGGCTGTCTGTTTCTAGCTTTCAACTAATCTCATTGCCATAGAATTGAAATTGAATCATAGCTGAACCTCCACTAGGTTTCTGAAACTGTAAATCACAGTGCAAGTCCCTGCCCACTTTGCCACCAGTTTAATTTTTCTATACGTGTGTAATGTTGTTGTTGTTGTGTACCATAGAGTCATAACTGACCCATAGCTGACCCTCCAGCAGGTTTTCAGAGGCAGTTAATCACATGGGAGGAGATTGCCCATCCTTCTCCCATGGAGCCGCTGGTGGCCTTGAACCATGTGCCTTTGGGATTGCAGTGCAGTGCAGCCTATTGCCACAAGGAGATACCTGGTTAGGAGAGAGAGAGAGCGAGAAAGAGAGAGAGAAAGATTGATTAGAAGCAGGAGTGCCATCTACTTCCTAAATAACATGCCTCCAGAAACTCTGTGAACTTTGGTAAATGCCAATAGTTGTGGACCAGGGGCTGCAGGCCTTTTGTTCATAGAGTTGCTATGAGTCATGCTCAACTCAAAAGCAGTCAACAACAACTCTGTGTGTGTGTGTCTCTGTAGTTGTATGATAGATAGATAGATAGATAGATAGACAGACAGACAGACAGACAGACAGACAGACAGACTCCTTGGAGGCAAGGATTCTGGGGCTTCGTCTGACATACTTTGGACATGTTGTAAGGAGAGACAGGTCCTTGGAGAGAGACATCATGCTTGGGAGGGTGGAGGGACAGCACAGGAGGGGAAAACCCTCTATGAGGTGGATTGATGCAGTGACTGGGGTAATTGGGATGGGTGTGGCACAGGATAGAGCAGGGTTTAGGGCTGTCATACCATAAGGTTGCTATGAGTCGCAAACGACTGGATGGCACATAACAACAACATATATAGTTGATGATATATATAGTTATATATAATTGATGTAGTTTTGTTTTATATACATATATATATTTGTTGTTGTTAGATGCTGTTGAGTCAAGTATGAATGGCTCATAGGGGCCCTATGAACAAAAGATCTTAACCCTTTCCTTCTCTGTGCCATCTTCACACTTCCTGATACACTTCCATTGCTTATACAGCTGCCCATTGCAACAGTTACCATGTTAATCCACCTGGTCGAGAGTCTTCCTCTTCTTTGCCAGCACTCCACCCTTCCCAGCATTATGTCCCTCTCCAAAGACTAGCCCCTCCTAGCAGCTTGTCCAAAGTATGTGAGGCAAAACCTCATCATCCTTGCCTCCAAAGAGCACTCCAGCTGCACCCTCTATAAGACATATTTGTTTGTTCTTTAGGAGTCCATGGGATATTCGGTGCTCTGACCACAGCTCAAAGGCATCAATTCTTCTGTCTTTAGTCATTGTCCAGTTCTCAGCTGCTTAGCAAGTGATCAGAAAGATGCACCTTAGTCCTCAAACTGATGTCATTACTCCTCAAGAATTTGGATAGGTCCCTAACTACAGACTTTCCCAGTGCAGTGCATCTCCTTATTTCCTGACTGCTGGTACCAAGGGTGTTAATTGTGGATCCAAGCAAGATGAAGTTGTTGACAGTTTTAATCTGGATTGAAATCTGGATATAGAGTGAGACCTACTCTCACCTGAATGGTACTTGATGAAAGAGGAAATCAAAACAGATATGAGGGTATTTCATGTGGAGATGCTTCTTTAAACCAGGACATGCCAAGCATTATCAGGAACCACCAGAGGCTAGTCAAGAGGCATGGGGCAGTTCCTCTCTTAGTGACCTCTGAAAAATCCAAATGGCTAGTACCCTGATTTGGACTTTTAGCCACAAAAGCTGTGAGACAGGAAGTTTCACACCTTTAAAACCACATACGCTTTTTACAGCAGGCCTGGGAAACTGAGACTGCCACTTTGATCCTACCTGAAGATTTACTATCTTCAGATCCTTCAAGGCAGGTATCAGCCAGAGGGCTAAGCTAAAGGGTATGTGTTTAAAATTTCAGGCTGAGGGGCAAAGTGAGGGCATCTCCATCCAACTCTGCATCCATCCGAGTCCCTCCAACCTCCAGCTCACTCATCACCTCTCTGCTGCCTGACTACTCAGCCTTCCTCCCTAGCTGTGCTCTAAGCAGAAAATTATTCAGGGGTATCTTGGGATATTGGAGGCTGTGTAGAGCTTCGCCCATACCTTTGATGCTGAAATATACCACTAAAGCTTTGTCAGGAGAAGAGAAGGAACTGACCATCACCCTTCCTCTTATTTAGTTGGTGAATTTTATCTCCTCGGTCTGTTGTTAGATACCATGGACTTGGCACTAGTGCTCATCTTGTAAAATCTTCATAATCATTGCTACGCTGCAGTCCACTGATGTTGACACTTTGTGGTTTTAGTGCCTTCCAACCTAGGCAGCTTATGTCCAGCAATCTGAATTGATCCACATCGTCCTCATTGTATCATTTCCAGAAGTCAATTACCAGACCTTGCTTTTCAGTCTGTCTTGGTATGGAAGCTCTGCTGAAACTGGTCCACCACAGTGATTCTGCTGGTATTTAAAGCACCAGGGGCATCACTTCCATCACCCCGTAAGCCCCTAAGCCGCCATAGTACAGCCACTGGTAGATGGGTTCCAAGAAAAGCCGATTGGAGCTGTCTGTCATCAGCTTAGTGTGAGGACCAAAGCAGTTGGACTGCTGACATGTAAACTTATGCTCAGGACCCCAGGAGTTGGTGGTGATTTATCTGGTAGGTACATATGTGTTGTTGGTGACAGATGGCACCATTCTGTGGAGAGGAATGAAAACACAGCTTGACCAATAGCTCATCATTGTGATGTAGCTTTAGGGAGAAGAGGATGATTAGTAAGTCCTAAAGGACATCTCAGGGAGTTCTGGTGGCCTTGTGGTAAGGAGCTGTGCTGGCAACCCAAAGGCACATGGTTCAAATCTTAGCAGCTGCCCCACAGGACAAAGGACAGTTAACGCTTATGTGATTTACTATCTCTGAAAACCCTCTGCAAAGTCAGCTGTGAGTTGGATTCAACTTGACGGCACCTACAATAACAACAAAGGACATTTCAGGGGGCTCTGATGGCATAGTCCATAAGGAGTTGCAATGCTAGCCCAAAGGCTGGTGGTTCAAGTCCACCATCTGCTCCATGAAAGAAAGATGGGCATTTTCCTCTCATGTGATTTACTGCCTCTGAAAACAAGTTAGAGGGTCAGCTGGGGTCAACCTGAGGGCAATGAGAGAAAGAAAAAGGACATTTCTAAAGATTTTTTTTAACTCCTTTAAGGCTTTGCTGCCGGGGAACTGTGCTGTTCAAAGTGAAGAGTGAGTGAGTCCCTTTCCACCTCCCCCTCCTGTATATTTATGTGTGTGTCTCATTTCAGGCTGCCATTCGGAAGGAGCTCAACGAATTTAAAAGCACTGAAATGGAAGTTCATGAATTGAGTAGACATTTAACAAGGTGAGTGCTGCATTTGTTTTAATCTTTCCATCAAACTGCCAGTATGCCGAACGGTCAATATTACAGTCTCCTCTTTTCCTCTAAGTCACAAGTGATGTGCTGTGTACAGCGGGGACACGATTTTTTAGGAAGGCGGGGGAGCGGAAAGGCCAACAAGCCACTACTGTGTGGTTACATTTTCGGTTTCTGATAATAGTCTGTGGATAAAAGCTTCCACAGCTTTTATCAGAGAAAGAAACTTTAAAGCCATGGTCTAAAGGCTACACCTCTGAAAGCCCAGCTTGTAGATCATTTTAAGTGAACACCTGATAAGTGTCCAGATTACCAATGGCCTCACAATGGGCTTTGATGGAAATGTAAGCAGAAGAGAGAAAACTGTTGCCCGTGCAGGTGCCCAATCCATGTGGCACTTCCAGGGTGAACCCACATCCGGTCATTCTTCAGCGCAGTGCTGTGTGGTGATATTTGGGGAAATCGAGGCATGGGGAGATTTAAAGGGCTTGTGTTTGGAGGAGTATGCTTTTGGAACCCTGCACTTCTAATTCCCGGTCTGTTTCTTTTTCTAGGTTCCACCGACCGTAACAGTCAACTTCTTCTTGAGTGCTATGCTGTCTTCAAAACATAAATTTCTAAGAACCATAAGTGCTGGTATTTATTCACATCCCCATTATGATGTAAATCTTCTGAACTGCCTTTTTTAAGAAGAAGGAGAGGAAAAAGGAAACACAGTCAGGACGATGCTCATGGCGAAGGCTTCTGCTCCACCTCAGAGCTGCGGGCACCACTCCAGACCCGAGGGGCTCCCTCCCCGGCAGGGCCGAGGGCTCTGGTGGGTCCTGACCGAAGACTCCAGCATGAGGAGCTGCCCTCGTCCTCCCCGGCCAGGCTTCGCAGCCGGCCTCCTCCCTGCAGGTGTCTGCCACTTGAGTCCAAAGAAAGCTGAGGCCGTGGGTTTGGCCTGGGGGTGACTGGTTGGCCTTTGCGTCTGGGTCGGGGGCATTTTCAAAGGGTCATGCTGAGCGGAGACATTGCTCATGGTTGCCCTTGTCCTTATTCTTCTTCAGATCATCATCCAGGCTGTGACCACGGGGAAGGGCCTTGCTCTGGGAGAGTCTGGTTGATTGTTGCTCTTTGAATGTGTGTGCTTCAGGAGAGGAGGCCGGTGCTGAACGTCCTTCCAGCCTCCTTGGTCCAGGCTGCTTGGTGCAGAGGAGAAAATTAGCATCTTCTCTGTTCCAGTTAACTACCTGCCCATGTTAGAAAGGTCCCCCTTGATCTTACATATGGGACCAGTCACTGCAAAGGCATAGCATGCAGGCCTCCAAGCAGAAAAACCAGATTGAGGGCATTAAGGCTGGGGTCAGAGATGCCACTCGGCTGTCATCCCTCCTTCTCTCCTTGTGCCCTAGCCCGGAGTTTGTACGTCTTTGAAGTTAACAGCTTCTGAGTTGAGGACCAACTGGTTAGTGCATGCAAGCCAGAAACCATTCCTGTAAGATGGGCTTTCCACTTGCAGGTGACCTGGGACCCAAGAACACTGGGTAACCATCTCTTCTTTTTTGGCACTGAAGCATTTTCATGGAGAAGTGGCAGAGTTGGGCATGTGGCAGACTCATGCCGCTGCCGCCACCAGCGGCCTTGCCTGCCTGTGGTGGCCTTCCTGCTCCTGGTCATCTGGAGAGAATCTGCCCTCTCCTCTTTGAAGCTGACTGGGGATGTCAGTCTCCAAGGAGAGTGATTGGCAGATATACAGCTCTCCTAAGCACTTAGCACCCCTTTGGGGCAGGACCCAACTGGCCTAGGTATCCCAAGGGAAGCTAAACCATGAGGGGTGAAGACCTCATAAACCCCAGCACACGTCACCAGGAGCCCACTGCAGCCATTCTGCTATCCCTCCTGGCAGAGCTGGTCGGCTCCCAAGCCCAGAGCTCCACCAGGTCTTCCATGGTGGTTTAGCCGCTGCCACAGCTCTCCTGAGTATGGCAGGCTCTCTACCACACGGAGAGACACATCAGCCTTGGCCTTCACACACATAGCACCTAGCCTCCGCCACAGACTGGAGAGAAGCGGGTTGCTCTGTGTGTGGGCACCCATCCGTGAGGCTATTTTCTCCTCTGCAGGCATCGGCTGCCTTTAGGGCTGCCCTGGCCCTGGAGCTGTGCTTGTTTTATGGGGATGTCCACCACCCATGGGAGGCTTTCTGCACTTTCCTTGTGCACCTGGTATGAGCAACTCCACCGCCCACCCAAGGGGGCACCATAAGGAGACCTCTCATCTTTTCCTTTGAATGTTAGATCTGAAGAGTTACGGCCTTGGGGAGAGGGGTTATTCAGTGAAAGTGTGGGGTTTTCATGTGGCTGTAAATACAATCTTCCCAAAAAGCTTCCTGACATTTGAATGTGCACCCAGAGTGAGGAAAGTTCTTTTGTTTGGCTTCTCTTTCTTTCCCAAGGTGGGTGCCTGTGGGGCTCAGGGTTGGGTTCCCCCTGAACTGCAGCCATGTCTCAGGCAGCATCGTGGAACCTGGCCTGACCCTCAGCCCTCCCCCGGCCAAGGAGAGGGTCCTGAGGGAAATCATTTAACTCCTCTGCTGGGCTCTGTTCTTGGGCCCTTTCAATTCCCTGGGATCCTCACATCCAACTGGATTTCCCAGCTTGCAGCCCACCACCCACCAGGTTGCCTGTCCCAAGTGCCCGGTGACCACAGTCCACTTGAGGCACGGAAGAAGCAGAACAAAGTTCACCCTCTTCTTCCTGCAGGGCACCTTTTTTAAGAGTCACCAGCACAGAGTTGGGGTGCCTGTCTGCCAGGCCCTTGACAGTGCTCACGCCCCCCCTGGGCAGTCCTTTGAAGCCCCTTGGAAGTGGCTCTGAAGCTGACCCACAGCCCAGGACTGCAGGCAGGCAGATCCTAACCTGGTCTTCATGCTCTTAAAACTATGAGGTCTTCAGACACGGCTCTCCACTTTTCTCTTTTAGATTTTTACACATTGTCCTAACAACAAGAGCAACCTGTCACTTCCTCGGGTGGCATTTTGGCATTCATTAGGAAAAGCCAGGTGTGGGAAGTGGTTTCAAATGCCACCCTTCGCAGAAAATGCTGCCATTTTGGCTTTGTGCATCTACATACGTACACAGGTGAGCTTGTCATTTGGGTTACCATGAGAGAAAAAATGTGAAATGTCCAATATCAGAACATTTCTCTCTCAAAATTAAGCATTGCCTCCACCCTATATGTTCCTGTGTTGGCCAAAGAGAAGCTGCCAGTGGCCTGTGTGCATTCTCAAAATCGTTGCCAGCCTCCCCACCTCAGGCCCCCACAGCCCTCTCAACTTCAAAACATTAGCCACTATGTCAGACTGGAGAACCCAAGCCACGTGACTGTAAACATGAAGGACTCCAAGTTAGTTTTGGTATTTCTTTTTTAACCACCCACTTAAAAAATGTGTATTTCTATCTGCCGGATGAAAATCATGGTGTGTGTGCTTCGGTGAGTGGAACTTCAGGATCTCCCTGGGCACAGCTAGGGAGCAAAGGTCACCTGGATTGACTTTCCCTCCCCGTGTCTGTTAACCCCCAAAAGCAGTGGCTTTTCCCAGTTGCTAACTGGGTGTGTGTACATAGTCTGTCATTGTGTAGGAGTGCGTGTGGTGACTCAGTCCCTGCTCTCCTGTGTTGTAATTTAACAGATGATGGTTGTATGAAGACGACGATGTAAATAGAACACAATGAAACTGGATCTCTATGGCCTAGGTTTTGTACATACAGAAACTGCATGGTATTTAAATTATTGTTTGTCTCTCATGATGTATGCAGTTTCTTTAAAAACAACAAAGTTTAAAAAAAAAACCCAATTCATTTCTTGAGTCCTGTGTGTTTTCTCAACTGCTGGAAGGAGCCCCTCAAAAATGCTTTGCTTTTGGCTGGGGAGAGAGCCGAGACAATAGGTAGACCAACTTCTCTGGTAAGGCCAGGTGAAGATCCAAGAAACCTTCCTGGAGTTGGTATTTTAGGTGAAGGAAGTATTTTTGCATGTAAATGAACCCTCTAGATAATATTTTAATACTTGGCTTTCTTTGTCTCTCTGGTGGCATATCTGTACAGAGCTGGCACTGTGAACCCAAAGGTTGAATCTCTTTTGCAGTTCAAATCCACCACCAGCTCTGTGAGAGAAAGATGGGCAGTCTCCTCCAAATGCAGTTTATAGTCCTGGAAACTCCCTGCAGGGTCTGCTCTGAGTCTGTTCCATCTTGACAGCATTGAGCTTGAGTTTTACTTGGGTTTGTGGTTTGTTTTTTTGGTTTTTCTAACAATTTGAACATTTTCATCAGAATAGTTTATATTCTGTATGAACAACTATTCTATCCTTTACTAATCTGAAAAAAAAATAAGATAAAAATAGATAAAAAAGTAAGATAAAAATAGTTGCCACTGATCAAGTCCCACTCACACATGCTTATCAGAGATCTATGCTCCACAGGGTCATTGGCAGTTGCTCTTCAGAATCAGGTTGCCAGGCCTTTCTTCTGGGGTACACTTGGGTGGGTTTAAACCACAAGCCCTCTGTTGGCAATTGAGCATGGTAACTCTTTACACAACCCAGAGCCTCCACTCTGGGCCTAATGAGCATATACACTCATTTCTCGTTGAATTACGCAGCGTCATCTCAGTATCAGCCTCGTTAGCAGTAGTGTTTTCAGAGGCCTTTACAAGTGGCTTCCCCCTAAGTGAAATGACCCCAGACTTCCCCCTCCGCCAAGTATTTCCCTCTATCTCTGCTCTTGAGAACCCTGAGTACTTGGCTGGTACAGCGAAGTGCAAGAGCTTTATCACCTAGCCTTATAGCAAAGTTGTATATAAGAGTGTGAGAAGCAGTAAGGCCTTCCTTCTCGCTGGATGTGTTCTAGAAAGGGGCAGGCACTGGTTGATACACCCTGAGCCCAGCAGCGGAGCGTGCCTCTGTGGCAGAAACCAACCTAGCCCAGTGCTGCTCCCAAGCTCTAGTGCATATAGGATTACCCATGTGGGGATTTAGCAGAATGTGGATGCTGACTCAGTAGTCTGGGTAAGGCTGAGATTTCTGCATTTCCAGTAAGTGGGTGTTGATGCTGCACATTTGGAGATCATACTTTATGAGTAGCAAGGGCTTGGAAGAACCTGTCAAAGGGAGCTGCGTCTGTGCCAGAGACTCTTCAGTTAGTAAAATCTGACCCACATCATCTTTTTCCAAGGGACACTAGTGTCCTTTAGCGTTTGCACACAGATGTCTGTCAGGACGTCCTACCTGTGCAGGCAGAGGGCAGAGGGGTCGGTGAGGGTTTTAGAACTGGTGACAACGGACTGTTCAGAATGACTCTCCTGCCTCAGGCCGCCCTCTCCCTTCCAGGACTGCTCGCTCTATGGAAAGTGTAATAATCTTCATATCTTATTGACATTTTCAAAAGCAGTTCTTTTTCATGGGAGTGAAAAGACTGGGTTGGAGGAGATTTTGATAGAGTTCCCAACAGGCTGTGTGACCTGCAAGAAGGAAGGATGTTGGTGGTGGTGATGACAGGTGCCATCATGCCAGCCGTGAGTGTAACAACCCTCTGAACAACAGATCTGAACGTTGGCCTGTCCTGCACCATCGTCGCCATCTCTGCTGTGCTCAGGCCTATTGTGGCCAACACTGTGTTAATCCATCTTCTTTTATTATTGTTT